TCTCTTTATATCTCCCTGTGGTCTTTGTCCCACAAATATGGATTATGCTTCCGGTCCCTTTTCGCAGGCCTTGCAAGAAGGCCCCCAGGTGTTGGGGTCCCCAGGCCATATCTGATGGTTTGGCCTGGCGCCAGCGTTAATAACCCTCCCTCCGGGGCAGTGCACTGTTCACAGTTTTATGGCCTCTGTAATAGGTTCTGCAAGACCAGTTTCTGGGAAGGAGGTGGTGACTTAATTATAGGTTATCAAGAATGTACACTGAGCTTGCTGGCATGGATTCAGATCGCTAGCCCCCCAAATATCAGGGTTACATTGGAATTAGCCGTTTTTAGTCTTCTCAACACCAGTATGGTTTTTGAGTTGTGGGATGAATAAGCTTCTTTTTTCATGGAACACAATTTTTACTTTAAAAAAAAACAACTAAAGAATGAATTATGGTTATTCAGACTTAGTTATTTGGCAGATATTTTTTCAAACTTGAATGAAAATTATGATTTTATATACATGTATAATGTAATACATATATATGTCTAATATATGTGTTTTAGCATGTCTTCATATGGCTCTTAATAGCAGTTGCTCTAGGTATTACATTATATACATAATTATAAACATAAATTATTACATTATATATTATTTATAATATACATATAATTATATAAATAATGTAATACAATCCAATAGAGTAAGGATTGCCTTTTTAATAAGTAGTTGACACCAAAAACACAATCTATTTTTTAAAATTGATAAATGGGACTTCATTAAAATTTAAAACATTTGCTCTGCAAAATACCCTTTTTTTTAAAAATTGATTTTAGAGAGGAAGGGAGAGGGAGAGAGAGATAGAAACATCAGTGATAATGAGAGAGAGTCATTGATCGGCTGCCTCCTGCACGCCCCCCACTGGGGACCGAGCCCGCAACCCAGGCATATGCCCTTGACCAGAATCGAACCTGGGACCCTTCAGTCCGCAGGCCAATGCTCTCTCCACTAAACCAAACCAGCTAGGGCCAAAATACCTTTTTAAGAGACAAGCGACAGAATGGAAAAATATGTTTCCAAACTACATAGTCAACAAAATTCTAGAGCAAAAGTATGTAAAGAACTCTCAAAGCACAATGGTATATGAGCAACAAACCCTTTTAGAGTCTGAGCAAGGACATAAAGACATAGTCTACTGAAGAGGAGGTACAGGTGGCAAATGAGCACAGGAAAAGATGTCACTATCATCCGTCAATAGGGAACTGCAAATTAAAGCCACAGTGAGATATCCTGACCTATTCTAGCCAGAATGGCTAAAATACCCAATAGCGAGAGGAGCCAATCTGAAAAGGCTACTTGCTGCATGAGTCCAACACCTGGCTTTCTGGGAAGGGCAAAGCCACGACTACAGTATGAAGATGAGTGGCTGCCAGGGGTTGGGGGAGAGGGATGACAGGGGAGCGGGGGATTTTTAGGGCAGTGAAACTATTCCGTAGGACCCTGCTCTTGTGGATACATGTCATCATACATTTGTCAAAACCCATAGAATGCACACCACCAACAGCGAATCCCATGTAAACAAACCATGGACTTGGGGGGTAATACTCAAGCATCAACGTCGGTTCATCAATTGTCACAAACGTACCGCTCCAGTGGGGCCGCTGATGGAGGGAGAGGTTATGCTTAAAGGGGAAATCTAAGTTCTGCTCAATTTTGAATTGAAAACTCTACTCTAAAATATAGTCTATTTAAAAAAAAAACAAACAGTGACAACACCAAAAGCTGGCGAGGATGCAGAGAAACTGGGTCACCTCTGACCGTGGGAATAACATGACACAGCCACTCTGCAAATCAGTCTGGCTGTTTCTTTAAAAAAAAAAAACTAAACAGGCAACCAACATGCAACTACCATGACCCAGCCATGCCATCCTCAGCATGTATCCCAGAGAAACGAAGATTCATGTCTCTACAGAAACCTGTACATGGAGGTTTATAGCAGCTTTATTTAGAATAGTCCAGACTGGAAACAACCCACCCCAAATGCCCGGCGATGAGTGAATGATTAACAAACTGCAGCGTAACCATGTCGTGGAATACTAGTCAGCGACAAAAAAGAACAAACTATTGTACACGCAACAACCTAGATGAGTCTACAGAGAATTATGCTGAGTGGTTTTGTTGTTTTTTTAAAGGCAATCCCCAAAGATTCTAGACTGTTTGGTTCCATTAATAGAACATTTTTTAAATGATAAAATTATAGCGGTAGAGAACAGATGAATGGTTGCCAGGAGATAAACAGGAGGTGGGAACAAGAGGAAAACGGGTATGGCTCTATGAAGGCACCTGGATGGGTCTGTGGCAATGAAGCTGTTCTGTATCAGTGCAACAGCCTGGTCATGACATTGGACAATAGTTTTGCAAGATGTTACAGTTGAGGGAAACTAAAGGGTACATGGGATCTCTCTGTATTTCTTACAACTGCATGGGAATCTATAGTGTTCTCAAAATAAAATTTGAATTAAAGAAAAAAGTGAATGAAGTAGGCCTTTAAAAGATAAACTGTACTTGTTGCTTCCAAGCAAAAATTAGAATTTTGACATTTTTTCGTGCCACCAGGAGTGTCAACTTCCTAAGACCTAAAGACTTCTTAATGAAATTAGTAGTGATATTAACTAATGCTATGTTAATATATTAAGAAATGTGCCCAAAGTGGTAACAGCTGCATTGCTCAATGAATCAGTGTTTTCTAACTAATCAATGCACAACATTGAAAAGAATTCTTAGGGGTGAAATAGGCAGGTTTAGGAAATTTTGGGAATTAAGGGATCTATACAAAAGACACAGGGCTACAGAGTTACAAAAGGTACATTTCCTTAAGACAAGGGAGCTGGGAGCAGCAGAAGTTACATTTCCATAAGACAAGGGAGCTGGGAGTAGCAAAAGGTACACATGTACAGAATAAAAGGAAGGAAATGCCTCATTCAAACAGGGAGTAAGAAAAGCTCAGAGGGACTAGGAGAACAATAGGGAGAAGAAGGAGGGAACCTCACATAATTCATGGAAGACTTGAGCTCAGGAGTTGCTATAGTGACCAAATCAAAGGGGAATAGTGACCAATTAGAGGGGATATCAAGGCACAAAGAACTGCAGCCTTTACAAACCATGGAAAAAAGGGACTCTGTGGGACTCCTCCCCCTCCCCACATGGGAGTCTGTGCTTGTTTCTCAATAAGTTTCCACCTTTTCCTATGCCATTGTTCGTCCGTGGTTTCATTGTTCGACTCCACCAGACAAGAGCCTGGGAACCATCCTGCCCAGGGAACACCGCACATTCCAGTCTAAATTTCCCGTTTCAATATTACGAAACCACGCATAGCTGAACGATCCATTCAAAATATATGATAGAGCCGTGGGCTTACTGGACAGATTCAAAATGCAACTAACCTTGAATAAGTTACCATGGAACAAAGCGTTCGAAAGCAATGTCTACCATCTCCTGGGAACTATTCAAATGTGACCTCCCTGTTCCAACTGTGTGTCTGCATGACGTCAGTTTCCTCATGCCCTTCAGCTAGAACAGTGATTCCCAAAGTGGGAGCTACCGCCCCCTGGTGGGCGCTGCAGCGATCCAGGGGGCGGTGATGGCCACAGGTGCATTTGTTTTAACTTTTTTTGTATTACCTTTCTATTCTGAGTTCAATAAATAGTTTCATAATTTCAAACTTCAATGTTTCTAATTTACACCTTTCTTTACTATATTTTACGAAAAAGGTAGAAACATTAATACATATATCTTTCTGTTTAATTGCTATTAAAATTTTAAAAAATTAATTTCTAGGGGGCGCTGAGTAATATTTTTTCTGGAAAGGGGGTGGTAGGCCAAATAAGTTTGGGAACCACTGAGCTAGAACAATATATTAGGACAGACTGAATTGAATGAGACATATATATGAGAAGTCAGCTATTTTCTATTAAGTCAGACATTAGAAATTTGCAACAAAAAAGTTTTAAAAGTCTCTCTTTTTGCTAAAGTTTCTTCATCTTGGAAAATATACTTTTTTTCATTAAAAACGTGATGTATGCTACCATAAATGGGCTTGTTTTATTAAATTAGTAATAAAAACACGGATTTAAATTCTCCTGGTTTGAATTCCTAATAAAGTGTTCGTAAACGTCACGCTCATGAGCAGAAGCTTTTTGGGGCCCTGAATGATGTTAAGAGTGTGAGGGCTCCAGAGACCCCAACCTTTGAGAACCACTGTCCCAGGAATTTCACGTTTCCTCGGTTGTAGTTGTAGGTTCAAACAACTTCTAACCCAGGCCCATGGACCCCAGGATCTACTAAGAAAGTAAGAGGGTTTTCCCTGACCAGTTTGGCTCGGTGGATAGAGTGCTGGCCTGCGGACTGAAGGGTCCCGGGTTCGATTCCGGTCAAGGGCATGTACCTTGGTTACAGGCATATCCCCAGTAGGGGGTGTGCAGGAGGCAGCTGATCGATGTTTCTCTCTCATCGATGTTTCTAACTCTCTATCCCGCTCCCTTCCTCTCTGTAAAAAATCAATAAAATATATTTTTTAAAAAAAAGAAAGAAAGAAAGAGGGTGGCCAGTTTGGGAGAGAGGGGCACGTGTCCCCAGAGAGCACGGGAGCTGTCCCCCTGCCCCCCTAAGGGGACAGGACAGCATGGCAAGGCCGAGGCTCCACATGGGTTTCTAGGCCTCCCTGTGAGGCCAGGGCCCGGCCCCCAGGGAGAGGGTGAGAAACCCGGCCAGCTCTCTAGCTGCTGTGCTCCTTCGGAGACAATATTATTCCTCTGGAGGAGCCTGAGTTGCTCCCCCACCTTCATTTTTTATTTTTATTTTCTTTGCTTCCCCTCCTTTAAGAACAAAAGCACAAACCACATTTCACTAATGTGCCATTTACCACAATAACGATTTACTCCAGTGTATGTAGCTATTTACGGAGCTGATCCGCTGATGGAAGAAGGAGGTGGCTGCAAGGCGTTTGCGGTGAAATCCGTGACAAAGAATCCTCTTTGGCTGCATTTGCCAAAAGGCCGCCTTGTTGAGCTCATCTTCAAAACGCGTGCTCCTGAGGGGAAGGAACAATGGATGACTTAACTTCTACCTTTAAAAACTGCCCTTTCGGTGGAGCCCAATCAAGAGGTCTCATTTTTAAGTGCAACGCCATGGGCCGTCTCCTGGCGTCCCTCCCAGCGCAGGCAGCCGGGTCTGGGCCAGGAAGGCGCCCTGGCCCGTCCAGCTCCTGTTATTCAGAGGCTACACATTAAGGTGAGGGCACCTTCAGCCTCAGAGAGAAGGTCATTCTGATGAAAGCTCTAAACTAGATCTGGAGGCCCTTTATCGGTGAATTAACGGAGAGTGTAAGTTGATTCCTTGCTCTGGGGAATGTGTTTAAATGACCCAGAGACAAGACAGTTTTGTTCTAATATTACGGTGTGTATGTGTGTGTTTCCCTGTCCCTGATACCCTGGTAATGTCCCCATTTATTGACTTAGTTTCCTTCTTTCTCTCTCTTTGTTTTATCATTTTCTTTAATTCCTCCCGATTCTTACTGAAGGAGGCTCTTATAATAATTTTTATATTTGCCAGTTTCCGGAGGAATATCCTGGCCATCCCATTCACCCAGCTAACTGATGCTCCCCTCCCTAACCATCCCCCATCTTCCTCACCCCAGTCCCAAGTTCATCAGGTCTGGCCCAGGGGACCATGCCGGCAGGTTCACCGGGTCCTGTATTGGTGGATCTGTTCCTTTTGAGTCATAAAATAAGCTGGGAATAGCTGTTTAAAAAACAAAGCAACCTGTATACATCCTAAGTACTTCTCTAAAAAGCTTGTGAAGTAATTGATCCACTGCTTACGGTTAACTTTAAATATCTTCCTGGTGTTGAAGAATAGAACAACAGTATGTGAGAATAAAACTCTTTGTTTTCTGTTCATTTATCATTGGCTATCTTTGGACTAACTTTGCAATCAAATTTAGTATCTTGATACCAGGTTGCTCACTTTAAAATGTCATAACCTTGCCTGTGGTTGAGCATCAACCTATGAGCCAGGAGGTCACAGTTCAATTCCCAGTCGGAGCACAGGACACATGCCCGGGTTTCGGACTCGATACCCAGTAGGGGGCATGCAGGAAGAAAATATACTCTTAATTTAGCCACTTGCAATATTTTTATTTTCAGAGGTATCCTAATGGGGCATGTTTTCCTTTAGTTTTACGTACTAGTCATTTTCAGAGACCATTTTGAATGAAATAGAACTGGGAAATTTTTAAAGCTTCAGTTTTAAGTGATGTTCAGCTCTTATGCCAATTTTTTGGTGCTATTTTGTGAGAATATGAATCTGCATATGAAACTCTGTGCTCTCTATTATTGGGGTGCATAGTGGATGCTGGGGCCCATTGCTCAGTCCTGCCCTTTTAACACAAAGGCTCCCATGTAGGACATGTGCTACCCCCAAAACACACTTGCCCGATTTTTCACTCTTCTTGGGGGGCAGCCCCAATCCAATGGCTATTGATGCTGTGAGTACCCCCCTTGCCTCCATTCGGGACACGTCTAAGGGGCCATCCCAGCTCCAGGGATTGAGGGGGGCTGAGCCCTCAGCTGCTGAGAGGGTTAACTCGAAACGCAGGCAGACAGGGCAGGGTCCAGTGGAAACAAAGGCAGGTGGGACGTAGGCAGGGCAGACACGGCAGCTTGAGCAGCCTGACCACAGGGGCCAACCACGCAGAAATAATAGAATGTTTCTGGACTCCGGCGGGAGGCAAGGGCGGGCCTGCAGCAACAAGGTGTACGAACACACAGAAACAGGGAAAGTCCAGCACAGGAACAGAGAAAGGACACACAGAAACAGGGGAAGTTCAGGTCCACTGCTGGGCAAGAACAATTGAGGGAGTCAATCAAGCGACAACACAGGTAGCATAGAGCAGGTATAGCAAATACATACCCTGCACTACAAGGCTTTCCCGGGCAGCCCATTATGGGGCCCCTCCCCTTCAGGGAGTCTGAATCTGCTGGTAATAAACGTTTACTTAACTCCTGGTCCACGGAGTTCATTCTTCAGTGACTCGAGACAGGACCCCAGGAAAGCACCTCGACTCAGCGTTCCGTTCATCACAGTAATTACATCACAGCCCCACCTCCCCTCACTCAGCCCAGCTGCCCTCACTCAGCCCAGCTGCCCTCATTCTGGCCCAGGTGCTCCCGGGAGCACTGCCCGCTCAACCTCCCTCGGGCCAACACCCACCTGAGCCTGCTTCCCAGGAACCGGCCCGAGCCCGGGAGTTGTCAAGAGTCTGAGGCAAGACTTCAACCCTCCACGTGGAACTGGCCGTACAGGTAGTTACTGCACAAGAAGCCGGAATCGGAGCCTTCTTCCATAGAAGGGCCCCAGGTGCACCTGCACCCCTTCCCACAAGCCTGAGCTCAGCTGTCACTCACAGGTTTTTCAAATGAAAACCTACAGGCCGCTCCCCTTCCCGGAGGGGAACCCAGGCAGGGTCAGCTGTGCCTTCCAGCAGGGACACAATTCTAGGAAGATAACACCTCCCCCCCCAAAGCTTCCGCGGATCCCAGTTTAAGAACCGCTGATTCAAAAATAGATCCAGAGACACGGAAGCGTCAAACAGACTGTCCAACCTCAGAGGGAAGGCAGGGAGGGAGGGTTAGAGATCAACCAAAGGACCTGCATGCACATAAGCAGAGCCCGTGGACACAGACACTAGGGGCGAGAGCCTCGAGTGGGAGCGGGGGGCTGGGAGAGGTCAATGGGGGGGAGGGGGACATATATGTAATACTTTCAACAATTAAAAAAACTAAAAATAAATAATATTTTAAAAAAAAGAAGAAGAGACGTTGATTCATAGTGAAGGTCACAAAAACACGTGGTCTCCAGGCAGTAGTGGAAGGAGGAGAAGCACTTTTCAAGTATATTTAAAAAGCCTTCATTCTTCCTCATATGATTTCACTAACAGGTTTGAATAACCAAATCTCAGACTCAACTCACATTTTCCACAGGCACGTCCGCTATGTTGGAGCCCGTCTTCTGGCGGTAGCGCATCCGGGTGCAGTAGACGCTGACCAGGGTGACCACCAGCATCACCCCAAACACGGCGGCCGTGGAAGACACCGCGATGACGATGGTGTCTCGCGTGGAGCCCCTCTTTTCACACCGCGCCCCCATGTACCACCAGTCTTCCCCCGACGGGCACCTGCGGGGCCAGAGCATGCTCTGTTAGGAGTGGCGTTTAGATCGAGCATCTTCTGCCCGGCGGGCGTGGCTCAGTGGATGAGTGTGGATCTATGAACCAGGAGGTCACGGTTTGATTCCTGGGCAGGGCACATGCCCGGGTTGTGGGCTCCATCCCCAGTGTGGGGGGTGCAGAAGGCAGCTGATCAACGGTTCTCTCTCATCATTGATGTTTCTAGCTCTCTCTCTCTCCCTTCCTCTCTGAAATTAAAATAAATAAATAAATAAATCTGAGCATCTTTCATGGCAATAAGTGTGTGTCAACACCCAGGTCCTTGACCTTGGGGGGACATTTCACTCTGGACTAGAGGGGGTCGGACTAGCACCAAGGGCCGGTGGGGACGCGGAAGGGGGCCCGGAATGACGTCTGATCTGGTTCTCAGAACAGCAGCTCCGAGGGGGAAGGAAGGAGCGTGGGGAATGGAGAAAATTTACTTCTCAGGGTCCTAGTCCCTCGCCTCCCAGCTCTACACCCTGGCCAAGCTCTTCCCAAAACTTAAGTATCTCCACCTACTTAACGAGGCAGGTACACTGACCACAACAGACTCTTGTGGGGACTTCAGATATGTACTCATGAGGACTTTTTCACACAATGAGAACATAATGTGCTGTTTTTTATTGATTTTTTTTAGAGAGAGAGGGTTAGAGAGACAGAAACATCATCGATCAGCTGCCTCCTGCTCGCCCCCTACTGGAGATCAAGCCCACAACCCGGGCAAGTGCCCTGACTGGGAATCAAACCGTGACCTTTTAGTTCCTAGGTTGACGCTCAACCACTGAGCCACACCGGCCAGGCTCATGTGCTATTTTTTTCATAAGTAATTTTATTGTTCTTGTGACTATCCAAAGTCCCAAATAAAGAGCAAAAAATAAATATCCTCTGGCTGGTTTTGAGATGGGAATGAACTGATTTCACTCATGTGAGATATCAGTATTTAATCGTACGTAGTGGGAATGATAGGGTTTCAGACAGAAGAGGGGGGAGGTCTGGCCCAGGGACCCCTCACCTGCACTCAGCTTTGCCATCCCGGACGGTGCAGACGCCGTCATTCTCACAGGTGAACTTCACGCAGAGGTCAGGGATGCGGGCGGTGGTGGTGCCGGTGATGGGGATGCCGTCGGTGGGGACCAGCTGCGGGGAGGTGGTATTCAGGTGGGATATGTCTAAGGGCGGAGAGCAGGGGTGGAAATCAGGTTTTGCTTTAACAAGTATTTGACTTTTAAATTTCAAAATCGGGTTTCAGGTTGGTGAGAGATTCAGGTCATCTTGCAGCGTAGTCCAGCAATATCCTCAGACAGGGAGCTAGTCCAGAGGCAGGTTGAAATCCAATACAAAGGAAAGCGGGCCCGCCTGCGGGGCTACCACTGACCCCCGTGCTCCCTGGGCCTGGGCCTGGGCTTGCCTGAACTCCAGGGGCCCGTGGCCTGGTGGCCGTTCACCTAAGAATGAGGGGCCGTTCCCAGTGAGAGGCCACAGCGCTTGCTTGAGATCAGCTCTTGGGGGAGAAGAGTCCCTGCAGAAGCCCAGGCAATGGGCTTTGATGAGGAGACAAAAGCAAGGGGTGCGGGTGAGAACGGGTGGGGTGGGGGGAGTTCTGTCAATGGAAGGAAGGCATTTCTATTGGGCAGATGGCGTAACCTAGTGGTGTTTATCCTAAAGGACGTTTTTACTTGTCAGTCCCACAATCATCATACCTGCCTCTTGTTATCTCTGCAAACAGCTCTGTGGACACAGGCTGCTGTAGGCCCAGCCCAGAGGTGCCTGTGCCCTGGGCTGACATTCCAGAGGTGAGGCCTAATGCGAACACTGCGGCGCTTTCTCCGTGTGGCAGCTCCGACTCCTTTTGTAAGGGGCCACATTGGTTATTTTTTCACAGGACCAACCCTCAAGGGACAGACAAGGAAACCAAAGAGCAGGTCCCAAGGCAGCTGAGGGGCCTGCCCGAAGCCTCGGCTCTCTTGTTTCATGGGGCAGTTGGCGGATTTTTGGTGGAAGACAACAGGGCCCCTGGCAACCAGCGTGCTGCTCCGGGGGTGTTTCCTGCGGCTTCCTGTCCACACGGGGTCGGATGGAACTGATGAACATGTGACTAGTCGCGGGAGGAATCATTTTAAGTCGCCTCTCCTCCCTCGGCACAAATTTCCCTGAATACTTTTTTCCAAGAAGTATCATTTAGATTTTCTCCAATTGACACTGTAATAAAACTGCCATGGGTTTGCCCGGCCGGCCTGGCTCGGTGGATTGAGCGTCAACCTATGAACCAGGAGGTCACGGTTCAATTCCCGGTCAGGGCACATGCCTGGGTTGTGGGCTCGATCCCCAGTGGGGGATGTGCAGGAGGCAGCCGATCCATGATTCTCTCTCATCATGGATGTTTCTCACTCTCCCTCTTCCTCTTTGTTCCTCTCTGAAATCAATAAAAAAATATTTTTAAAAAAATGCCATGGGTTCCACTGCACCCCTTTTCATCACAAACAAGATTCTGATTTGCTGAGATGCAGGTGGGGCTTCAGTTGTAAATGCGTTAAAATCCTACCACGTAAAACATGGAAACCACCAGTGTTCCTGGAAAATGTGTTCTTTGGCTGCCATAGGTAAGAAACTTTAAAAGATGATAGATTATTACTGCCAAAAAGTGTGTGTGTGTGTGTGTGTGTGTTCCCAGAAAAATGCATACATGCACTTTGAATAATTATAAAGGCAGTGCTTATTAAGATATATTTTATTTTCAAAATGGAGCTATCAGCTGTTAAAGTGTGTACACATTTTGAGGGGACACCCTGTATATTTGAAAAAGACAATAAAGATAATTCATTTTAAATTTAACTTCATGTGCTTGTGTGACATTTTTATTTCTGGAATCCTAGACTATAGTTCTAGGGTATAATGGCTATACTTTGACTTACCTCTTTTTTTAATATATGTATTTCTTATTGTCAATAGTATTACAGATGTCTCCCTTCCTCCCCCTTCACTTTACCCCTCTCCTCCCAGACCCTACCCATCCCCCACTTTAACTTCTAAAGTTTTCCGGCCTAAAGTCTTTTACTATTGCTCCATGTAGTGGTAATTAAAATCTTTATCCTGGAAGCCTCACTGTTTCCATTTCAATTAGTTTCCTATTGTTAATGATTCATCCCAAACGAAAAAAAAATTCCACCCGGGCCCATTTCCTCCCACATCCCTAGTTAATGCGCCTAAAAGTAGAACCTGCAAGAACACAGTACATCAGCCGTGACTACAACAACGACAGAAGTAGCTTAGGAGGCACTATGCTCATCGCCATACCTTCCACGGTCAGTAGGATGTAAACATCGCCTCCTTTGATGAAGTCCCTGCTCTTCAGCCGCTCGTGGGTGATGAAGGCACTAGTTCCAGAGCCCGGGCCTCTTCTGAACTGAGTTCCGTTCGGGAAAAAGTCCACTTCCCCCACTTTGGAAGGCCTGTCCCAGAAAAAGCTTTTGCCATCGTCGTCTGCAAAAGCAATTCGTATGAAGGGGCTGTGTTTAGCATCCGCTCAGCTCTCGGTGGTAGGAAACAACAGGCAACGTGAAACCCAACTAGGATGGGGCTCCAAGTGATTAAATGGCGCCCTTGACCTGTGATGCGTCCCCTGCATGTCGCTGGAGCGTGTCCATTTCTATGCCCCGAGGAAATGGGACTGCCCGGCAGGGAGGACCACGCTCTGGGTCTCGAGTGGAGGGTACAGGAAGTGTCCCAGGTGGGGAGTCCGATCTGTACTGACTGACCAGCATAGAGACCCACTGCCCGGGACAGTCATTCCTCATGACCTTCTGAGTTGTAGATCGGCCTGTTACCTGGGTTAAACCAGTTTGCTGCTGATGGAGTTTTCAATATTAGCGCAGAACCACTTATCTTAACCGACTGGCTCACCTAACAGCTGAGTCCTTCAAGAGTAGAAGCCAGAGAGAGAGACTGCTCTGGGGAAAGGTGGCGACCACCCAACCCGGAGCCATTGTCAGCGTCATTCAGGGAGGAATGTTTTTTTTAAAAAGGGAAGAAATTCTGAACATCACCTCCCTACAGTCTTTTGTGGATATTATTTTCCCCCCTTTGTCACATAAGTCCATTGTTTTCGTGTATAGAATTCAGGTTTGGCAATAATATTCACCTGGCCATAATTCCGTGTGTCCCTTTATTGGGTTCCCAGGTGGCAAAGGATTATTAAAATGAGAAATGTGGTCATTGTACCCTGACCACGTGGCTCGGTTGGTTGGAGCATCATCCCATACACCAAAGGGTGTGAGATCGATTCTCAGTGAAGGCGCATACCTAGGCTTGCGGGTTCGATCCCAGTCAAGGTGCGTACCAGAGGCAACAGATCGATGTTTCTCACTCACATCAATGTGTTGTTGGGTTTTTTTCTCTCTCTCCCTTCTTCTCTCTCTAAATCAATAAAAACATATCCTCCGTCGAGGATTTTAAAAAAAAAAAGAAATGTGATCATTGCCTTCTGGATTCTGCTCCTTTTTGAGACTGGAAGATGCGGGAAATGTCCCCATTGGCAAATCCTCCATAACTCCATAAAAAAGGTATAATCCACTTCCTGACACTCCACAGCATCTGCTCCTCTGACTTCTGAACAAAAGCCACCCCCCTTACAAGAGCTGCCTTGGTTTTGGTGATCCCAGGGGCAATATCAGGGTAGCACAGAGTAGGAGACCAACACTGGGCGCCTCTTCAGACCAGGCCTTTCCGCAAACTTCGGTGCTCGGTCTGGAGTGATTCTCACAACAAATCTCTGTGGTTGTGGTCCCTGCCCCCATGTTACTGCCCAGACACCACATATGCTCTAAGGGGTTATTGGCTCAAGATCTACTTGCTTAGCTAACGAGAGCAAACCTCGGATTTTCATCCAGGCACGTCAGACTCTAAAACCAGCGTTCCTGGCCCAACACTGGGAATTCAGGAATGGCCATCAGTTCCCAGGAATACAGTCACTGTCGTCTCTGTCTGCCGGCTTCCCTGCGGACATCCCTGACGCTCTCCTGCCCGGGAGACTGTCCACAGCTGCGGAAGCTCTTCCCCCTTTTACCTTCTGTTCCTCAGATCTGGCTCAGAACCCCCTAGGTGCCTGGCTGTGCAGCCTCTCATTCCCAAGTCACCCGTCCCTCCACGAGCAAGGACGGGGTGTGAGCCGTAAAGAAAAGGAGTCACGAACCCGTGGTCAGAAGTGGGTCTGTAGTTACACTCCGCTGGTTGGACATACGCCGTCGAATGTCAGGGTTTTGGTCCAGGAGTGTCATCGTGGCTTGTTGCCAAGGACACGGCCACTCTAATTGATCATCATTGGCTCCAGAGATCAAGTGGAAATATATCCCTGCATTACTCGGATGGCTTAGAGTCAAGGAAACCTGAAAGGCATAACCTTTAGGAGAGTAAAATGGAGGGCTATAGAGAATTCCATCGGGGCTGCCAATCAGCTGTGTGACATTCCTTATGCGCCAGATGTGATGAGGGCACCGTGTTTCCGAAAGGTTGATGTCGTCAATGGACAGGCCGCCCAGTGAGGCACCAGCTCCTCTGACCCCTCCAAACACCACCCGGAATTTGTTGGTTACTTTCAGCGTTACATGGTAAAGTTGCCAGCTCCCGGTGGGTATATCTGCAAAACACACATTATTATTGCACAGAAGACAAAGGGCAATGGACCCCATGCAAGTCAACATGGGAGTTCTAACCTTCACGGACAAACGTTCATCCTAGGACTACCGGTTCCCACAGGTCCGAGGTATGGCTTTCCCACTCCTCCAGCACCCGTCCTTTTACTTCCAGATGTTTCTGTGGGGTCGGACTCCTCTCTGTAATATTCGTATGTTTATCTAGTTTCTCAGACAGGTTACCCTTTCCCAGAGATGGGTGAGCAAACAGCAGCATCAAGCTCATGAGTACTCCATGCCCCACGTAGGGGTGACCTTGCATTCTGTGTTAATTCTATGTTAATTAAATGGTTAAGCAAGCCCAGTATTTTACACTTGTACCCACGATTCCTGTGATACTCAACCAAAGCCTCCTTTAATATACTTATACTCTGCTTGGAACACATCCTTCACATGGGACATTTTCAACCAACTTTTCAGCAGTGTTAAACAGGACTGCACCAAACCCTACAAAGCCCACATCCTACACTTTACTCCTTAATCATACAGTGACTCAACATTATAAATACTTATCTAATATTTCATACCATCTCCTCTCTCCCCACTGCACTCCCCCTCCACTGTTTCCCCCACCCCCGGCTGGCTGCATGGCTAGGCCATCCTATCTTATTTTCCTGTATCACATACCCAAATAAGAAACAGTACATTTACATCTTTCAGATGCCCCCAGGGAGAGAACAGCTCAATTTATGTGAAACTCATAATTAACACAACAATTTGAGATTTAAATATATTGGCACTTAATGAGAAACACAATTGCTTGAAAATAGCTTAGAAATATCCAAATTACAGAAAATGCCATCGTCCATGGATGGACTCTGGATTGAGCAAAACCTTTCACGAGAGCTTCCACTTTATTATTATAGTACTATCCGTTTAAATTCTGCACTCCTAGAAGAGATCAACCAAAGAACTTTTATACTTATTTGCATAGCCCATGAACACAGGCAGTAGGGTAGTGAAGACCTGGTGTGGGTAGAGGCTGGGAGGTAAAGGGAGGAAATGGAAGATATCTGTAATACTATCTATATATATAAAAGCCTAAGCGACCAAATGACCGAACGACTGAATGACTGGTCGACTGGTCGCTATAATGCGCACTGACCACCAGGGGCAGATGCTCAATGCAGGGGCTGCCCCCTCGTGGTCAGTGCGCTCCCACAGCCAACCTCCTGCAGCTCCAATCAGCCCCGATCGCCTGCCAGACCGAGGGACCCCACCCACGCACAAATTTGTGCACCGGACCTCTAGTCAACAATAAAAAATATATTTTAAAAATTAATAAATTCTGGACTCCTGAACAAGTTTTTAAGTATCTTTTGTGCTATTATGTACCAGTGATAACAGCACAGGTTGCTAATGGAAAGGCATATCTGTATCTTATACACTGAGTGGCCAGATTATTATGACCACCCCATCAGTACTTCGTTGGGCCACCTTTTGCCTTCAATACTGCGGCGAGTCTTCTTGGCATTCACTCCAGGAGATGTTGAAAGGTGATGCGAGGAATCTGACACCATGCCTGATGAATAGCACTGTCCAGTTCTGTGAGATTTGATGGTTGTGGAACCAGCTGCCTGATGGCTCTTTTAACTTCGTCCCACAAATTCTCAATTGGATTGAGATCTGGTGATTGTGGGGGCCACCTAAGCAAGGTAAAGTCTCCCTCATGTTCTTGAAACCACTCCTGCACAATATGAGCACCGTCATGGCACTGTCTTGTTGGAAGAAGCCATCTCCATTGGGATATGCCATCAACATGATAGGATGAAGTTGATCAGCAACAATACTTAGGTATGTTGTGCTATTCAGACGTTTATAATGGTCTGGCCCTCTAGCAACTTCAGCTCAAAATTATAGCTAATTTGCCTACAAACATCAGGTGGTCATAATAATCTGGCCACTCAGTGTATATGTGCTGTATATTGTATTAAATATACTTACATATAGGTATGTGTACAGTGTGTGGTATGTGTATGTGAGTGTGAGATTGAGACCCTCGGCTTTCACAGGGGATCGGCATGCCCCCCTCTGCCCGTGACTGGAATGACGGTGGGTGCCCACCATGGCGTTGCCCCCACCCCACAGAGGAATTGCTCCGGACGTTCCATTAACCCAGTCCTAACATCAGAACCCTTCCGCGGGACTTATTTATAAGCTAGAATTAGAGCGAGAGTCCCCTTCCAGTCCGATGTGGGAAGAAGTGAGACAGCCAGAGCCCCAGGTTCGTGGACAAAGCCCAGTGAGACCCCGAGAGGCACCCAGCCGCGTCCAGGGACAGGTCCCACCCGGCTGAGGCCAGCCCCTCCCTCTTCCAGGCCACGGCTCGGCCACACCTGGCAGGGGACGCTTCCCATTCTGCCCAAGCTGGCTCCCATTCCTGGCCTCCTCCTCCTCCTCCTCCTCCTCCTCCTCCTCCTCCTCCTCCACCTCCTCCTCCTCCTCCTCCTCTGTGCGGGACACTGAGCTCCGGTTTCTTAGGTGAGTCACACACGAAGCGCACAGAGGACCCTCTCCTGCTGAGCTGCAGGGCCATGACCCCGAGCCCTGCCCGCTGGCAGGTGGCACACTGAGCAGCGTGAAGCTTCCGCCCTCTGACCCCCACAGTGAGGATGCGAGCACGGTACCTTTTATTTCCTCCACCAGGACCACAGTTCCATTCGGGGCGCCTGCGGAATACTCGCGGATGTAAATGTTCAGCTGGTCTCCGGCACCCCCGCTGTTGTACACAAAGAACTGCAGGCACTGAGAGCCCCGTTTGGGGTACAGGGTCCTGCTCTCCAGCATGGCCGTGGCCCCCGCGCTCACAGCGCTGCTGTCGAAGTGCATGAAGAAGCCGGCGCCTGGGACAGGGAAACAGCCCACGTGAGAGAGCGGCGGCTGGGTCTGGGCAGCCTGTCTGTGGGGCCGGAGTTCCCCTCGCTCCCCGCGGTGTGCGGGGCATGGACAGGTTCCAGGAGCAGGACGTTTAGGAGAGAGACAGCATCAGGCCTCCGTGTCCTTTCTGTAGATGCTAGCTTTCAG